ACAGGCTCTGGGACTCTGAGGACAGGTGCCCCAGGAGACTCACACAGGCTCTGGGACTCTGAGGACAGGTGCGGCAAGGAGACTCACACAGGCTCTGGGACTCTGAGGACAGGTGCGGCAAGGAGACTCACACAGGCTCTGGGACTCTGAGGACAGGTGCGGGCCCCAGGAGACTCACACAGGCTCTGGGACTCTGATCTCGGCGCAATGGTCACTCCTTGGTCAGTATGATGACCATCAGCATTAGAAACATCTGCTTCTGCTTTAATCACACTTTTTCAACAAGAAACTGGACCAAAGAGGCACATGTATCTCAGGTCCTGTCAGTGTCAGAATGGACGTCTGGTCGGGTCAGGTCAGCCCAAAAATGTCTCACTGGTCAGGTCCAGTCAGTCTGAACGTGTATTACCAATCGGGCCCAGTCAGTCTGAGTATGTATCTCCAGTTGGGTCCAATCAGTCAGAGCGTGTATCTCTGGTCCAGTCTATTTGAGCATATATCTCTGGTCTAGTCGATTTGACTGTGCATTTCCGATTGGGTCCAGTCATTCTGATAGTGTATCTCTGGTCCGGTCAGCCTGAGCATGTGTTTCACATTGGGTCCGGTCAGTCTGAGCGTGCATTTCCAGTACGGTCAGCCTGAGTGTGTATCTCTGGTTGGGTCCAGTCAGTCTGAGCAGTGTCACACCACGCTGAGTCTCTTAGCAAAACCGTGGAGTCATGAACAACAGAAAGCTCTCACTGCTGTCCAGGACAAACACAGGGCAAGGCCACGTTAGCAAAGGCGGCCGGGAATGTGGAATGCCATGGGGAGGCTCAGCAAAGCACCGGGTCAGCAGCGGTCCTCTATGGACTGGGGGCACTAGCACTCACACGCCCCCCCCACCAGGATGTGCGTCTGCAAGCATAGCAAGAGTCTTCCCAAGTTAATTACCTATTTATATCAGCACCAAGCGCACAGACACTGACGTGTGGATTAAGGATTTCATTACTGAGCTGTATCAAGCCAAGCATCCACACAGCATGTGATTCCAGCGCTACAGAGAATCCCTCAAACTAATCAGCCAGGTTAGAGAGACACGGTCTTCTATCTGCGTTCCTGATGCCCCTGCACTGAACACCAGCCACTTAAAAACAGTACACAGTACACAGAACTTTCAATCTAGGAATCGGCCGGGGGAAAAGAATCATCCACTAAACTGAGCATGGGCTGGATAATTCCGATAAGCACAGAAAGCACCTTTGTGCTGTAAATGAGCAGAATGTGGCGCTCAGAGGGGCAGCCCCCACCAGGGCAGCTTTCCCAGTTGCCGTGACAACCCCAACCAACGGTAAGCTAACGTGCCGAAACGCAGCCCTCTCCTCAGAGAGCGCCAGAGAGAGCGGAGGGAGCGGAGGGAGCCGAAGGAGCGGAGAGAGCGGAGGGAGCGGAAGGAGCGGAGAGAGCGGAGGGAGCGGAGGGAGCGGAAGGAGCGGAGACAGCGGAGACAGCGGAGGGAGCGGAAGGAGCGGAGGTAGCGGAGGGAGCGGGTACCTTACTATTGATTCTGGATGTCTTGCTCTTCTTTGCCTCCCTGTCCCGTGTCTCAAAAGCTTCTCTCCTGCCCAGAGCGGATCCCATCTCAGACCATGGGGCTGGCGGCACTGTGGCGGCACTGTGGCTGGCACTGTGGCGGCACTGTGGCATCACGGCTCAGCCCACATGGCTGGGATAGACAGGAGAGCCCCCGGCTTGCTGCTGTGGTAAAGCAGCTGGGCAATTCTGCAGATCGCAGTCACAGAATGCGAAAGCGAGAGAGAGAGTGAGAGAGAGAGAGAGAGAGGAGGAAAGCGGCAGTACCGGACTGGGGGGGAGCAGGGGGGTCAGGCAGGGGACTGCTGCAGCTCGAAAGGCAGCTCCAGCACACAGAGGCAGTGTGCTAGTCTGTTCCGCGGGTCCCTCTGTCTGCCACGACGATATAGTGCTGGAATCCCGCTCAGCTAGATGGGGGTGGGGGGGGGGGGGGGGCGATTGGCCCAAGGGGGACAGGCGGGGCTGCAGCTGTGCAAGATGGGGGGCGGGGCTCAGGGCTCAGGTGGGGGTCCCTGGAGTGGGGAGGGAGAGGCCCCAGACTGCCGCTCTCTCTCTCTCTCTCTCTCTCTCTCTCATCAGTCCGCCGCTCTCTCAGGCTACCCTCACTTTATCCTGTTAAATATCTGTTTGCTCTTCAGGAAGCAAATTTCCCTGCTCATTTGTGTGGACACAGCAATATACTGCCCAAGCTCCAAGGTGTGTGAGTGTGTGTGTGTGTGTGTGGATTACATTTATATTACATTGTGGGGTCCATATGTTCCCCACAATGTGATAAAAACAGTGATTTTGATGTGGGGACAATTTTTCAGGTCCCCACAAAGATCTGTAACTACAATCAAAAAACTAAAATGCCAGAAGTGTCATATTTTGTTTGGTAACTTATGGTTAAGGTTAGGGCTGGGTAAGGGTTAAGCTCGTCATAATTAGGATTAGGGTTATGCCCACAGAATGCCCCTGATACTGAGCTCTGGTCACTAACCCTAACCGTACTGCGGTTAGGTAACGGCCATCCATCCACCACCTTCTGCAGGAGCAAACCTGCTCTCTTCTTCACCTGTCCTGCTCCTGGAGGATACAGAGTATACAGGAAACATGCTGATCTACCTGAAGTGACTTCCCTGGGGACACCAACAGCTGCATCTGCGACACCAAGGGCCACCGCGCTCAGCAGTGCACTAACGGGGCCATACAGCCACCCCCACGGCTCTAACAGAGCGACCAGCCAAGTTGGTACCGAGTACCGATTAGCCAGCGCACAGCCCCGCGTCTGCTCTCATGGTGACTATAAAAAGTGACATGAATGCAAATGACAGGGCACTATTTCACAATTCTCTGCTATCTTTCTCACTTTTGATGAGGCATGATTCATTCGCCTATACCCTAGTGACTTGATCAGGCTACAATGACACTCCGATGCCAGGACTGAACATAGAAAAAACTCATCGTAACTACATAACGTATCCGAGAGCAGGACTAAATCAGGAAAGTAATAAAGTGATTTACAATTGCATGCACTACATTGCCATTTTATGCATAATTACAGAGGTACATTGTCATTTACAATGAGTTTTAGCACCTTGTTGTCCTTTAATGCAAAAAAAAACATTAAAGGTACTTGAGATAAGTGGGTAAATAACTGACAATTTTTTAAACAATGAGAATTTACCCATCGTACGCAATTCAGCTTTCCGCTACAGCAGAAAATCCAAGCTAAAGCTACAATCCCTCCCACAACACACCCATGCGGGGTCACAAATGTAACAGCAAGACACAACGTTCCCCACCAAGCATGGACACAATTGTAACCATGCTGAGTCTAGGCGGTTCTCCTCTAACCAGAATCGTGACGGCAGAAAGTGTGGTAGTGCAGGCTAATCTAAATCAAAAACCAAAGTGTGAGGTAACGCAGGCTAATCTAAATCAAAAACCAAAGTGTGAGGTAACGCATGTTAATTTAAATCAAAAACCAAAGTGTGAGGTAACGCAGGCTAATCTAAATCAAAAACCAAAGTGTGAGGTAACGCAGGCTAATCTAAATCAAAAACCAAAGTGTGAGGTAACGCAGGCTAATCTAAATCAAAAACCAAAGTGT